TTGGCTCACGCCAATAATCTACGGGTGTCGGTTACAACTGGTGAGTTCAAGTAGACTGAAATGGTTGCTTAGTGGTTTCTGAATAATATTGGGACTGTTTTTATTCGGAGCCGCTTCAAAACTAGGAGTGTGGTAGCAGCCCTCATTCTCCTACTTGCTTTGTTATTTGTCAATTTGCAATGTTGTAGATTTAGCCTTAGTTGTGTGCCACTTCAAAACAGGACTACCTATGTGGCAAATGATGACGAGATATCATACAAATCAGTTCAACAAGAGATCCAAATCAGTCAGCTAATCACTACACCGTTCTAATTATATGCCACATAGATGATCGCGGCGCCACTTTCCCTAACATATTCTTTAAGAAGGTAGTCTTTTAGTGTATGTCTCTAGGACGACCTTCTTCATGGGTGTATTTCCCAAACCTCAAATAGACCACAGTAGAATCAGCTGCAAATTTTCCATAATGGCTACAACATAAGGAACAAACTTTGGATTCTGTAGCTTCATCTACGTAAAGGATCTGTAGGTGGTGAAGATGTATTGTCGTTTACATTGCTTCAAAGCAGCTTGCATGCTTAATAGTCGTTGACTAGTAGGATTTTATTTGTACGCGGGTCGCCAGGTCGTATGGCCGTGGTAGTAACCTGGTATAAATGCAATTATCTATCAAAGAGTTTGGGCCGATGAATTTTAATGTCAAAATAATGTAAAGTTGTTTCGCGTCCTCTAAATTCAGAAGAACTACCTTCTTTATCCGATTCTTTGGACAGCTCCAGTGAGCTACGTCCACCCAGTATTCGTAAAGGTTTCATTAAATTCGGTTAAACACTTGTCCAAGCGGGCACGGTCGAGTAATGGTAAGCATGATGCCGGTTCACAACGAAACATTCTATTGGGTATTAAAACCTACGTCTTGACATTCCGAGAAACGCAATTTGACAAACAGGTTGTGTCTAATATGTATGGAGCATGGAATAAAAATTGAAATTAACGGTTGCAAAATCAGGGACAACTTTGTGAAAACTGAAGAATGACTGACGATGAATGAGGTTTTATCTTGGAATGACTTCCACTTGACTTGAGAAGTGCACAGTATGTCTCGCAAGGTCCGTATCTGCGTACAGAAATATGAATGAAATGTTTCCGCAGATTACGATACATCGTAATCTACCCCCATTTTTATGGTACAACGAACATAACGGTCGTAATTAAAGATGATGAATTTGTTAACAAAGACAAAAGCTGGCTCTAATCATTTACGGAGATCAGCATATGTGCGGATCCTTGTTATCCTCTAATACGCTATAGATGGCATCATATGAAAACAGCATGAACACTAGAATAAAATCGACAGATTAAAAATTCCCTGGAGTCGTACGCCCTTTGTCAGCACTTAAGACGTCAACACACAAGATTAACTGTTCGCACTGAGGTAGAGGCATTTGAAAAACGGTTGGATTGTCAAGTTTGTCATGTTTCACTTGAATGGAATTCGGCACTGTGTAAAGAACTGCACACCGGTACCTACTTAAGCCGTGCTTTCGTCACGAAATTCAGGCTGAATTATGGTTACTAACAAAATGCTCTTTATGACACTAGCATTTGCAACCAATCGGAGTTGAGGCAGTCTATCCATTAACTCATGATGCTGAACCCCATTTCGTTTCTGGTTTTGAAACAACAGCATATTAGCTAATGTTTACTAATGTTACTAATGTTTACTCACATATCGCAGCTAGTAATCGACAACCTTTAATTCTATATGCGTACATTGAGAAAGCACCCATACAAAACCATCTAGCATTTCTGTATTTGTAAATATTTTTCGCACGCTTGTTTGCAATAGCTTACATACGTTAAGCGATGCAAAGTTTTTCGTAGTTTAAATGCCCCAGAATAATCTAAGGTACTGCATAGATTTAAGTTTTGTCAGAAATCGGAATTAACGCAAGGCTCATCACTACAACTGATGTTAATTAAGTTTGATTCCAACGATTCGCATCAACAAAATATCTTAACGCTAGAAGGTTTGGAGCAATAATCCTAAAATGCACGTCCGGAAAGTGCTTCACGTCTAAATTTTACGTAACCACAGGTATCAATCATAAATGTACTAGGCAATTTATCTTTAAAACAAATTTTCCCTTGTTACGGCACGGACAGTAACGAAGTTTCAATGGAACACCTAAACAAGTATGTTTAACTGTTACATGGTAAAATAAAACCCTCGGAAGAGTTTGATTCATATTTATTCACCATTTTTAGTTTCCTGTATAGTTAAAGCAAAAATCGAGGCAGCCTAATAAAAGCTGAGGTACATTTAGAATCTGATAGTGGTTGCTTGTAGTCCTAAAATTATTTTGGGCAGACGTTCGCTGAAACAATGGATATTTCTCAACCCGGACGTTCATGGAACGCATGTTTATTATTAACAGTGCTTATCCATAGTTCGAAAGTATACTGTCGATGAATTTGACCTGCACCATTTCTAATATGTTGTTTCAAAGACAAGGCTCCCAAATTATGTAAAAAAAATCAACACAAGCAGCGACTGCAAATGCCTCTAGATTATGGAACAAGTATACACATTGGCGTCAAGGAGAAACAAACTGGTCTGCATACTCACTGACAGAAATACATTTGGTCCAAGAAGAGTAAAGTCACTATGGTCAAATTCTACGGAGCATGAAGGTGCAAGACACAGGGGGTTAAAAGGGCAGAGGAAAATTCCTGAATACTAAATACTGGCAGTTCTGGTACAATCTTATTTGATGAAATCTTGTTGCAATGTTATTTGAAGGCACTAAACATATCTGCTAATCGTGTTCCGTTTCCACTAAAGACGACAGGTATTAAATTTGCTTTTCGCTACAACTCTAGGTTATGGACGACAGATAACACGTTTAAAGGGCACTAAGTAAAGACTGGAATAGATTCATTAGGCTTTCCACGACCAATATAGTTGGCACGCAAGCATTGAATATATAAGCTTTAAGTGTTGATTTAAATTTAAGTGAACCGTTAGGCTTTGCTGACCCCCAACAGTGTGCCGCATAACCAGTTTCGTTCTTAATTACACTATTCATATGCAGACAATCGGAACTGAGACCCAAACCCTGAATACAGTAGTCCGTTCAGCTGACGACGTACAGCTCAAGTCTGGAACCACCATCTCCAAATACCAAGAATGTTCCACGAACGTCAGTAACAAAAATACCGGACTCTGACAGTCTAATGTGTAGATTCACCTCTGCACATACGCTAATTTCACGTAGATGATTCACACCCGAATAAGACCAATAAGCAATGATCACTCGATGAAAAGTTTCTACACTCTAAAGCCCATTTGCATACTGGTGAAGATTATTGCATGAGCACACTGACGACAATGAATTCGCACATTATATGAGCAGTTGAAGTTGCATTCAGGAGAAATAATGACCCTAAGGTTACTGGCCAGTGTGTCAAACTAAACCACCGATCAACTTGGCACGAAACAGCTTCTGACTTGGACAAAGATGATTGTTACTTGGCGTTATAGATTTCACCCCAACAATTGCGCCTAATTTCTTCTGTATGCACGGATGCAGGAAAACACAGTGCCCAAGTAAGACCCATATAATCGTTGAACTGAGGTTTCGCTGACCAACAGCAGTCATCCAATGGGGTGCGATAACATCCCCCACCTAACAAAAACACTGGTACTGAGAAATGGATGAATGGATGGTTGTGTTATACTAAGGAAAATCAACGACTGAAAATAAAATCCGATTTTATTTAATTAGACGCATTAGGACCACAGCGATATCTCGATATAGCCAATTTAGTTAAACAAAGACAAGCGACCGCACTTGGTAATTACTAGTTGCATTAATAAAATAACAACAATTTTGTATTCAGCTTTATACTCCTTTTTGTTGCAAGAGACTAAGAAATACGTCAGTATGCGTGCGTTTTCACTCCTATTGAAAATGTACCAACTTAAAACAGTAAACTAAATCAAATTTCGAATGACTGCTTTCTATCGTATTTATAACAAAATCCGCATTCCCAATGCATTATAGGTGAATACTCATAAATATGTTGGCGATAAAAAACAAAAGTGTCTTAGGAATTTGCCACCTGCCTGTCTCACGGTTCATGCACAAAGGAGGCTATTGGTTGAGAGACACTGAGCTCTGAGGGACGCCCAAAGATAAGTGAGTGTTAGGGGTTACCTCTGAAACACATTTTGCTGCAGGAAAGCAAACAAAAACCGATTCACTAATTGTTCACAAATGGCCGGACCCACTCGGCACACACATCTACCATACATCAGCCGCCAAAGGAGTTACGAGAATTGTTGCACAGTTTTAGGAATAAAAGAGAATTTCCTAAACCAGGCAATTGCCTTTTAAACGATTCGTTGTTTATGCACAACCTCTTCACTCAAAAATCAAAACTTTGACCCAGACATGCTATCTATTTTCCGGTTGCATCATCGATTTTCCAAAATCCAATATTGCTATGCTGACGACAGAGCTTTTCTCCTCTTAATTAGTAAATTACCCAATCTTGTGGTATCTTGTGTCTGTCAGAGATACTTATTTTCCATGCAAAACCAGTGTACCGGTTTACTTCCAATGACCGGCTACTAGCAATATACAGACGTCTGGTTTCTATGAGAAACACCAGTCATCTTCAAGGCTGACTTCAGACGTAACTCGGCGTTAGTCAACCTAGGCAGTTTGGCCAAAGCGCACATCAGCGGCAATGAACCCACAGTTTTTGGGGTTGGTTGCAACTGCTATTATGTATGTGTGTGGAATCGCGTTTGTGCGTTCGCTTCCGTGCTGCGTGTACACAGACGTGGCCTCCGTTAACACAACCCCAGCTTGTGTGCGTGGCCCAATCGATAAGTTTGTGATGGGCATATACTATATGACTGGTTGGGTGAAGACAGTCAGAACAGGAGTTGTGTGGTGACGGCAACCAACGCTCACAGAAGAGACCGGGAAATGTGGCGTTCTACCAGCGGCTTGGCCTTATTGCCCAAGCTGCTCTTGTTGATCTTGATCTGCAGTCTGTGTTATGCAAATAAGCTGAGACCGGTCGGCTTGGAATTCAGACCTCGCTCGGAGCACGCTCTCTCGTTGCGTTCCATTCAGTTTGATGAACACACTGCAAACACATCACTGGTGAATATGGATGATGCGAATACGAATTCCGCCATATCTTTGGCAATCGTGTTCGATTCCACGGGGTCCATGGGAAACGATCTTAAGCAAGTGAAGATCGGCGCTCGAAGAATACTTCAAAGGCACATGCAGCGCGGTGAGGCTAACTACATCAAAGACTTTGTGTTAGTCAAAGTTCACGATCCAGGTAAGCTTATTGATCCGGGCATTGTGAAGCGAAGTTTGCACAACTCCATTTTCAAACTGCTCCACTATATCTCATTCAGATATCCTTTCATTTAATTACCCATTTGGTGTTTTCAGTGCTTAATTAACAGTGGTAGTGGTCACTATCTGTTCAGGCGTTTAGTTGGTCTTTTCTGTTGTCAGTAGTCTAAGCCTACATACCTATTCAAAGTGTGATGTACGCCGGCTTTTTGGTAGCGTCACTCAATACGACCCTCCATTGGATTACTTTGACTAATCTCTCAGATGCGTTTTTAACGCCAGTCGACCTTTTGGGTCGCACAATGCTTTCTGAAACTATTTGGTGAAATAATAACGCGCAAAGTCAACTGAGATTAGCACAAAAATCTTGGAGTTAACTGGGCTAAATCGGACTACTATAGTACACAGCCTATCAGGCCTGAATTTGTTAGCATGCTCATCTATGCTACGGCTTATATCCTCGTAGAGGCATTGGACCAACACACACGGGATCAATTTGATTATGGCTTTGTTAACTCTGTTTCAGCAGTCTATGCAAGAACTAACCTGACTCTCGAGAAATGGAAGACATTATACCATGCTTATTCACCTACAGTGCTATTGCAACGTCTGTGGCAATTAAAATTCAGGTCAGTTAGGACAGATACTCATTCTTCAAAATCTGAAATAATCGCTCTTTGCCTAAGCGTCCACATAGTGTGTCAACATGGTAGAACTACAGATGTTGCATCAACATTGATGCCAATTCGAATCCCACCTTAATTATCTTATCCCAATAGGCTCTAAACAAGAGCAAAATTGATGCTGGAAGGCAATAATGGTACCGGGAGACATTAACTGATTTCGTCATGCATATAATGAAACCCTTAATGTTCTTGTATTTTGAATTACATGAGCCAGTTGTAGCACAACAAAGGTACAATTGTTCGGACAAAATCGTCAGTGATAACGGTACACTTTCAATGGTATTCCAGGCAGCTGCAATATCCGTTACGCTTCCAGTGACCCTCTTTCAAGTTGTTTTTGTATGTTGGACATATATGGTTGGGAAGCACGTGAATAGGATCACTCGGTGGCTATTAACTTGCTGAATTCATCCGCTGGACACGAGAATACTTTAAGCATTTATTGACTGAGAAGTTAGCATAGTCCATAACCAGTATGTGCTACCCAACATTGTAACGTCTCTACTGTAACAGTGCCACGCAGGTCTAATTATATCCTCGAAGTAACAAGTCAATTTTTGTAACTAATGAAAATTGTAGTGAAACGAACTTCTGAAACCGTTCGCAACAGATCAACATGCAGGTTATCTACTCTCTATGATGACCCTGCTGTACTTAATTCTGAGACTTATGTTGCATGCTTCTTCACCGCGATTGCACCACACTGACCTAAATTTAAAAAAAAACTAAATCCTTCTAGGCTGGGTCAAAAGTATTCCACTTTAATGCCTTGCCCAGTTTTGTTATTCTGCTGCTTAATCTGTGTCAATTTTGCGTGGTTAGTTTCCTACAAATGCTATGTTGTTTCTTGGATACCCGCGGGTGTGGCTGCGCTTAAGGTGATTATGGACACAGTGCCTACATGTCTACCACCCTCCACCTCGTTGCACACGGATTATAAGAGACTGAAACGTTGCTGAGGGGACGGGTGTACGGAATGTTGCAGCTGTGATATTGAAGGAGTATGATCCTGCTCCGTTGATGAAATGTCGTGCCCATCCGCATGCCTCCCGATCTTATTCCTTTGGGTTTGTACTGGATACGCGGAGCGTGGATGGAGTTTTGGGTGCTGCAGTACGAGACACCCAAGGTGCCTCTTTAGGCACAGATCTCCTGTGACTGCTCTATGGAGGCCGCGGTGACAAACAAATTCGGAACCGTATGCCACCAACCATGACGACTCAGATCGCCATGAGCACCACAGGTGTGACCACGTTAAAGTCACCTTCTTGATCCGCTTTGCGATCAGGTTTTTGTATCGAAGGCTTTAGTTGCGAACACTAAACGTTCTGCTGTCTAAGTCTGGACAACCAGACAGTATCCCGCCCACACATTACTATGAACCGCACTTTACAAATGTTTTGATGCACTGGACGTCATAGAAGTTAACAAAACGGCGACCTATTTGCAGCATCCAGGAGGATAAATAGCGGTATGAATGCTAGTGCTCAAGTCGTCCCGTCTTCTTGTTCCTCTTCTTACGCATTTTCACCCTTATCGTCCCGTCCCAAATTCACTTTCATCCCACTGTTTTAAACATGCCCACCCAATTTTGGCCTTCATCCACCATGTCTGATAGGCGTTTAGCTTCTAGTTTTAACTCACTTGCAAACGCGGACTGTCACTACGGCCATGTCGAAAAGCCCATGGCCAGCAAAGCGGTCCACCCTAGTTCCTCGGCTTCCATTTGAAGCCCCCGATCCTCCCTCAGTTTGTCATGCCTCAGTGTACACACGTTGTTACAGATCAGTCAACAGGCAGCACTTGCATGAATATTATAGACCCTCTCGATCGATATCTGCTACTTATCGGAGACCCGCCTAAAAGCTCCGAGCTCTGTTTTCCATTTGCGATCCCCTTCAGATAACACCAGCAGTGCATTCTCGCTGTGCCCATCCGGAGACGATGCAGATTCTAGTACCGGCCAAGCAAGTGCTGGTATTGTCTTGAGTCCCCGGGCTGAAAATTCTCTGGTTGATTGGATCCCAATCCGTAGCCGAATGTGTCCGGTCCGATTGGCTGGCTCGTTCAATGCTTCGAAATCTCGCGGAACTAACAAGTGTATATTCGAAATTGCAGCCTACATGCCCACAAACTGTAGCGCTTATTCGGTAAACAAAACAACTGCTATAGCCAACTGAACGAGCTCCTCCGCTACAGAAGAAGCTCGGAGACTGTTGTGCTGGCGGGGATCTGAAGGTCACTGTTCACATGTTTCCCAGACCTTACTAGCAGCAGGCAAATCCACATATGGTAAGCCTAATAGTCAACGTGCACATTGGATCTGTACGCAGTATCTGGAACTAATCGATGCTCGCCAGCACATTCCGGCGGGAAACAAACACAATGAAAGTCGTAAAAGCCTCCGGACAAGACTCTATTCTAGCCTAAAGAAAGGCCGCAAATCCTGGTGGTCTCATCATGCGTCACAGATGGAAGTGGCCACTGTGCTTGGTGACCATCGGACGTTATTCCATCAGATACGTGAAACGGGTAACAAGAGACCTGGTGTTAGTAAAACTATTTATGACGAGAGTAGACAGCCTAACCACAACTTGACAAAACGCTTGAAACATTGGACGGAGCACGTTGAAAGGTAATTTAATCGGTCGGAACAGCCAGATTTCTGACCGGCCACTGCTCGGCCTGGTCAGTGCGCTGTCCCTTTGGATTCTCCTTTCCGCTCAGAAGTCGTACTTGAGATAGGACGGATGAAGTTGAATAAAGCCGCGGAGCCAAATACTCTTACTTCATCCCTCTTCAAATTCGGGTGGCCCTGCTCTTTTGGATGATTTAAACGAGATTCTAGTGAAACTGTGGGTGCAAGAAACTGTCTCAACTGACTTGAGCCACTCGGTTATAGTGCCAATTTTCAAGGGAAGCTCAAGAGTTGTAACCAAAGAGTAATCCGCTTGATGTCCATCGACTCCAAATTGCTTGCCTCTGTCATCTTTCACAGGCTAACTGTCACTTGTGAAAGCCAGGTTAGTGCGGAGAAAGCCGGGTTTCGTCTAGGCCGTGGCTGCATCGGCCCGATATTTACTTTGCGTCCGTTGTTGGAGCACCGTCACATATATTGACAACCAAACCTTGACATACTTACTCATCGACATCCAAGTTGCCTTCGATTGGGTAAATCAATGTGCCCTTTGGGACTGTCTGTCAAGAAAAGGTGCGTCAAAGAATTATGTAAATATTATCGCAGCATTATACGCGAGTAGCTCGAACAGTGTGAGGGCTTGCGCCAAGCCGTCCCCGCCCTTAAATATCTCCAGGATGAGCGCTGTCATATTTCCTCTTCCACTTCGCTATTGACAAAGTCATGGAGATCGCGTTCACAGGACACGACTTAGAAGGTGTGCAGCGGCTCTCAGACGAACGACTTATTGCCTTGGAATATGCTGACAATATTGTCCTAATCCGTGACAGCTCCCAAACGTGGCAAGCTGCACTTGACAGAGTAGCACTAGCTGTTGACCATATCCGGCTATGGTTTGCATTTTCGAAGTGCAAGGCTTTCTTCCAAGAATGGCAGCGACAGCCTCCTGCGCTGACCCTTGGAAGGGATCAAGCTGGAAGTCGTTCAAAAGTTCAACTGCCTGGGACGTTGTATCAGCGCACTTGGGATCGAAAACGAGATCACGAACGGTATAACAATACCTCGAGGCGTTAGTGCTAATTTTCACCACCTATGATGCCGGCGAGATATCACTCTCTCCCTGAATGGTACTGTGTACAGTGCAGCCGCACGTTCCAATCTGCTGTACGGTTGTGAAACCTGGCCGATTAGATCAGTCGACAAATGGAGGCTAGTTACGTTCGACTATCGACGCCTCCGCAGCTGGCTAACATCTGGTGGGAACACTGCGTGAGCAACGAGCGTGTTGGACGACTTGTTTACGGAACAGGAAAAGGAAACGAACCGCTCCGTACCATTATTTCACGCACCAGGCTTCGATGATTGGGGCACGTGGTGTGCATGCCAGCTCACCGACTCCTGTAATGTGCGCTGTTTCCGCGCCGGGGGTGTGGATGGAAGAAGAGGAGGGGTGGCCAAGCGATGACTTGGTCAGGAGTAATGAAGGCCCTTGCTTCGACGTTGGCTTCGGCTGGTGCATCTCGGCTCCCTGATTGGGTCTGAAAGATGGTGAACTTGTTTGGCTTGGTACAGATGCTGACATGACAAGCAGCCAACCACAGCGGCGTCTGTGTTGTGAATTTCTGCCTCCCTCTCCATCCTTTTTAGCCTCTCCCTCCAATTACAATCTCATTGCCTCTCATTATATAATCATTGCTTAACAAAACTTTGCTGCTTAGTAGCTGGCTGGTAGTGCCCTGGAACCATACCCATCCGTTACTGGTCGCTCAGCTGGCGTGCATTTGTAGCAGGTTTGTTTTCGTTTCTTAGGTATTGTGGCACAATGGTTGAGGTGTTTTCCACCGCTAGCTATGGTGTATGGTTAAGATGATGATGATGTGTACAAAGCATCTATCCGTTGCATACTCCTAACGCATGGTTTAGGGTAAAGAGAATGCTCTTTGTTATCTGTGTAACTCACCATGAGACAGCGCAAATGTTGGATAGCTTCTGCAGTCGGCTGAACAAGCGTGCGCTGGTATGTTACAGAAGGTCACAAATCTCGGGATACTTTGTGAATGCATATATTCTCTAGTGAATCTCATGTCCTTAGCACGTCGTTTTACATTCTATTATTGTGGTAAGTCACTCAGCCATGGTGGCTCCAAGTCCTTCCGCTTAACTTTTATGAACACTGAGCCGGTCCCCAAAGTCACGGCTACGTAGAACGTCAGCTCTGTAAGACACAGCAACACAAAACCGTTAGCACGATTGTTTTGCTTATAAATACGGAGGGAATTCTGATTTAAAAGCAGTGTTTTCATCCCAATAACCTCTAAAGCAGCTAGCTTACCACGCACCCGGAATAGCGGCAGACAGCCGCTCATCTGCTGTCTCCAACAACAATCGACCCCATTAACTCTCATTAGTTTGCATGTCATGATGGCCCTCAGCCGTCAGCTATTTCTTGGTGGCGTAAGCCGCCGGGTAGTAACGCAAGTAGCTAGGGCCGTATGACCATGGGTCTGGTTGCCGATGAAGCAGGGAGATGAGCGTAAATGATAGGTATCAATAGGACGGAATGGTCGTCTAGTGCTCTTCCAGGAGTGTGGTCGGACAGCTGACTTAAACGCTGTTGCGATAAACACTTACTACCATCACATCAAAATCCCTGACTCAGTAGCAATATTTTATGTGAAGCATTTTGTTTAGCCGAGAGGTAACTATCCTTGGCAAAGCTCACAATCGAAGTAACCGGAACATAACTGTCTGCATCTACTACCCCTAAACTTCCACACTGTCAGTTATGGCATCTATTTCAATGTTGAAGAGTTCAGAAACTACTCCATTCGCTTTGTCAATTTTACCATGTTTTATGCAAGTTTTAATAGATTCGTTACGTCATTGTTAGTCTCATCCATTAAAGTATTGAGTACTTCTCTTTTCACCTACTTCGCTTTTGACTACTCACATACAGACGTCGGACCTGCTCGTGTAACAACATCGACAAAGACATTCTATCAGTACCTGGACTCCGTCTACACACAAGGTGGTGGTGATTGTCCGGAAATGACTGTTACCGGTATCGAACTGGCGCTTGAAGCCTCAAGACCCAATTCGTTGATCTACGTTTTTACCGATAGTAGCGCCAAAGATTACAATCGCACAAACAATGTACTGAATTTGATTCAACAGAAACAAAGTCAAGTACGTCACTGGACGTCGAGGCGCAAGTGATTTATCCAATGCTGCAATCTTGATATACAAGACAAATATTTGCTTGGTGCGGGTTAGTTGCAGGCCAGTTTTAGGATGAGACAACTTGATTGCTCACTCGAGTTGGTCAGTTTGTAAACAGATAGCCACAAATGGCGAATTTAAATTTACACCAAATAATGACAAAATGAGCTTCGGGTCCGTATAAGTCACTCTAATGATATCATCACGTAGATAGTCAGATAGAACGCCAACTACGTCAAGCTGGTTGAAGTAATGCGCTCAAAACCGGCTATTTTAGGGTACCTCGTGTTTGATGTAACTCACTTATCTCAGTGATGCGCTTACTTGCACATCTACGTGCTAGTTGCATTGGTTACGTCTTTAGGCGTAGATGTCTGTCGGTCCGTAGGGTATGATCGCGGATTCACCTATGCTGTTTGTCCATGAATTATATCATAAGAAATATGTGGCCATGAGATACGCATTAAGCAGCGCAAACAGAATAATTTATATCGAATTCATTGTCCCAAGCGCAAGCAATCTTAGTGTCGGGACAGATTGCCTGGAGTAAAAGAGCAAGATCTCAAAAACCAGGATACGGTTGCAAAATTTATACTGATATCCGAAACAAGTGAACGGATCGAGATTTGTTGATGTACTATTTGTGTGAATCGGCTGTAACGAGATTACCGAGGTAGCTAGCAGTTCTTTCACAGTACTGATACAGCAATTACAAGCAAATTAGTGTATGTGACTGGTTGTACTGGGAACGATTTGAGTGGGTTTGACAAGAGGCATCGGCATTTTTCTGGTCACCCAAATAGGAAGCTGAATATACGGTGGACAGCTGTGTTCACTCGTCTTGCATGTCGTTCCGCTGCATTATGCTTTGAGAACTGCAGGTAGACGAGAATTTTGTCACTCATGTTTTATTTCCCTCGGATGACTGAAATCTAAGAAATGACTCCAGATATCCATTGCACCGAAATTTTGCTTACTAAACAGTAATTTTGATTCCTACACATCACCGTTCATCCTATGAACTCGATAAAACCTCATCTTAACAAAACAGCGTCTGCATCGAACATGTTTAGGGTAGTTGGATATTTTATGAAGTGCAGTCCAGTAATCAAAACGCTTTAACATGTCATCTTGTCTGTTCAACAATACATTAAGAAAGTCAGGTAATCGTTACTCTTGGAAAAAGTTAGTGAACGAGCCTGTTTTCAATGATTCCTCATCAGGTTGATAGACCAAGAATGAATGTCGTTAATGTAAACACCAAATGAGTACAAATTCAATGGCCTAGTTAGTCTGTGACCAAACTAAGAGCTTGCCCCCAGATCGAACAAAGGCTTGCTTGGTGTTGTCTTTCCGTTTACAGATTAAACGAGCGTGTGCATACGCTCTATTTAGCTCCGACCTTTTCTTTCGTTCGATCTGCTTATATGATGCTAGTTCGTAAGAGAAGGTACCAAATTATGTGTCATGTTACAATAATCCAGAAATTCCCAGTTCCGTGGCGTGCAAGTTCATATCGCTTCGCGCGAAAATCCAATGTTCCTTTAGATGGTATTAAGCTGCGCACTGACACTGACGGATTTTGACTGCAGTGAATTTACGATGAATTTCACAAAACAGACAAGATGAGACAACCGAAGTCTCTACAAGTTCACTTAAATCTAAAGCAGAGGAGCTGTTATTGTTTCCAATGTTTTATGCTAAATAGGCCAGAATAAATCGGCCCAACCAAGTAGCGGAGGAAGTAGAGAGAGCTATGAAAATTATTAAAACCAACCAAATGAATATAGTCGAAAGCATGATTATTTTGCTAGAAGTACTTGGAATTTCACTCTTAAGGCGGTTACGAGTAGGAAAAGCTTAGTGTTACGTAGAAAACAACACTAAACCAGGTTTGTTGCGTGTGATGAATAGTCAATAACTGCAAACCGGCAGGAGATCATCTTGACACAGTAAATAACCTGATAGTCGATAGCTGAAAGTAGTACACCAATAGTGTGGCTTCTAAAGCCTTAGCTTATAAGCGGTGGATGTAAATATGGGTAGATGCCTGCGTCTGTTTAATGAAAGAAGGGTTAACGACAATTTAGTTATCTTTGGCTATTAAGCAAAGGCCTTCTAATGGAGAATTTTTAGGGTTCTTACTCTGCTTGTGAGCAGGGGCGAAGGTTTTGTCAAGGCTGCTGGAATTCAAAGCTATACAAAACTCCGTCATCCCTACCCTCTTCAAAGATCGATGCCGTTAAAAGACTGTATCGCAGCTATACCGCATTACCCTTTATTTAACTATAACACTGAAAACCAGCACATTTTGTGCGTAGCTGCTAAAACGGTGACGAGGTTGTGCAGAATGGTTCCTAACTTCTATTCCAACCAACTTTTAATGCATATGTACACCCGCTTCTAATCGTTTTCCTACGCAACTAATGCAGCTAACCTAACGAGTTAAGCGGCAAAGTTTCAAATATGCTCTTATTAAACTGTGTCTCGTAAATGTTTGTGGTCACAACGACTTGCTTACTGAATTCACCCTTATGGAAGATAAACTTCATTTCAAACTGTGTGCAGAAGCCTAAAACGATAAGTGTGATGCAAACATTAGTTCGTTTTGATTATGAACAGCCCCAAGTTATGTTAGTGACACAGATGGCCGTTTTCTTTTGACCACCTGACAATAGCAATCACTGTGTCTACCAAATCAACTTTAATATTTCAGACGGATGGCGTACTCTGTATGTTAAGTCCCAGCATTCCGCAGTCTCTGAGCTCGCCTACGTCCCATAACTATTGATAGGAATCTATTGGTTTGGATGGCCTTGTATCTCGTGTCAAGCATGATAGTAGCAGCACCAACAGAAACTTGTATGGTAGAAGGTTACAGGAACTAAAACGCCAACGAACGTTCCCCAATAAATTCAATAAAGAAACCCGTATTTGTCATAGGAACCCAGTAACAACAACAAATTAAACAACTGCATAAACGCAAACTAAAACCATAACATCACTATCACTAATTTCGGTGAAAGGCATCTATCAAACTCACTTCAAGAATAAGAATTTTTCAGAGCCACTGACTGCTCAAGCGGCCAACTATCGATCGAGCACACAAACAATACGTTCACATCCTTGAAGTTTCTTTCTGTCTTCGAGCTCAGCGTCCAAGTAGCCTATTGCAAGTGATTTGGTCTTTCTAGTTTGGAGAGCCAATAGAACCGTGGCAATGAAAATCATTTAAAAGCACCAGACAGCAGCCCCTACACATCGCATTAGTGTAAATGAGCATAAGCTCGCTTGCAAGTATCAACTTCGTGATAAAGAAGGACTTGCACCTGTCTGTTTCAAATGGACTATAACAGGAAGCTACCTGCAGGCAGTAACGCTACTCAAACGGTCTTACATATTTGCCACCAAACGTCGGAAGGAGACAGCGTTTCAAGGGAACAAAGGAACACCCTTTGATTCCTGGACTAATTAAATGGAAGGCAAAAAATACCTTAACGGCTAACGTCAGCGAAGAAGTAACCGCATCAAACTTTATTGTACTTAAGATAAGGAATTGGGTTGTAGTTTCCGAAAGCCGGCGCAGGTCTCAGTTTTTCCTCCACTCCACCTAACAAAATGTCATGACGTTTAATCGGTGTTTGCTCACAATTCTGAACACTGATCCTTGTTTTTCTACAATTGGGCAACAAACCAGCCAGCGGTGTATTGCTCGGTAACCTGCGACACGGTCCAACATACCTGGTCTGAGCAGTGTGTAAGGGTTTTATTCAATGAGTGAGAATACGCTTTTTCGTTTGTTTTGAGAAATCAACCAGATACTTTAACAACGCATGGTACGTTGGGGACAAACAATTCCAGGAAACTTCGTTTGGACTTACAGTCCTGAAAGCGATGCAGAGGAGCAATTATAATTAGCGTTTTAGGAGTTTAGATCGAAGGGGGTATGATGAATTACAATGAAATCATGAACTCGAAAGAACAGGGACTTTAAATGACAACAATGAATGAATGCCGGGTGTTATGTATGCAATGGTACAACATATTCGGTACAGCATATGGGAACCTTTATGTAAACAAAGCTAGGAGCTGAGCAATTTAAATATTTCCAAACGAGCATCAACCATTTTCAGTAAAATCATTTGTAACCGGGATATTCGCAATAGAGTTAAGCATTTAGATTCATAGAACTGATAAACCGACAATGATAAGACTTTAGAGGTTTATGTTTTCAAAGTAGGCGGAGCATGAAGGATGTTTAAAAATCTTACAAATGCATCTATTAATTTCATAGTAAATTGCGGATTCTGAAGCTACGCGAAATTACAATAGTGTTAGAGGCAAAGATGAATCAAAGTACTTAATGGGACCTAGGTGTTTGATTAACGAAATCGTCGTTAATAAAATGGTGCATGCTAGGATTAAATTCACGTAAGACCACCTTACAATATAGCAGAATAAAATGGACTAAAGAAGAAAAAATAAACTCCGTGTGTCTTAGATTTCAGTAAGTAAGGATAACTTTCGAACTGGGATATCAATGAATATAATAGACAATAAAGTTAAGGTAAAGAACAATGACAGTTTTTGGTCTGTTTGCGGTACCCTTCAACACTTTAGGTGTCACCTAACCGGATCTTACTCTTACACTTGGCTTATGGTTATATAACGGCCTAAATATAGCACTGCCTATATATATAACTCCACCGGCTCACAGCAATATGTTAACATTTTTAAGAAAATCGCTTTCGGAAGTGGCGGCACATATATCACACAGTAACATTTTACAAACTCCAGTATATCGAGTTTGCAAAACGTTTATTGATATGGTCTGCCTGAACTTCTCAAACTACCGTTTTGCATTCATTGTTTATTCTATCTAGTCAGCTTGCGGATCAGCACCTACGTCTTCTAAATTTGCATCTTGTACTGAAACTTGTGTAACATTGCGTTTGTCCTTAAAGAACCCACGTTTTGAGACACTGTTGCATTTTAACTTCCGGTTGCAAACTGGTACACACGGTATTTTATCTCTGCTCGGATACCTTGTATTGTTCCACCTACTTTCGCCGGCATTGTTCATGGTGCCAAATGTTTTGGCCACCACAATATTTTTCGTGTTCAGCCTTAGCGGATTCCCTTTTCCTTCTCATCCCTCCCTTCCACTCTGCCAATTGCATCAATCTGGGAATACAGGTTGTTTTTGTGCTAACTGGTTTTTGTAACACAACAGAGGAGCCCGGATTTGAAGCATATCGTCAGATCGCGACGGTTAGTTCTGGACAACTCTACATCATTGGCAAAGGTCAAGTGAATGAAGTAAGTTACTGGTAGTTCGGCATGTTGGGCAGCCAAGGTATGCTGACATTTAAGTTGTATTTGCATTCCAAGTGTGTTTAGACTGAAGCCGAATGATCGTGATTATTTGCTAACGCTGTGTATGTGATTAATAAGCTAGTTTACCACAAAATCAATACGCTTTCTATTTAGTCTTAAAGCTCTCTGGGCTTTTTGGTCAAAGTTGTCCAAATAAACTAACTGTTATTTCTCGAGATCATCAGCTCAATTTTAGTCTAAATGCAAGTACCATTTTTTATTTTAATTATTTGCTTCTATGTGTACGCAGGTTTGATGCAATTAAAAATCTCTACTTCAGTATCCCTATGGAATAACTGGTTGCTGGCTTCTAACTTGCTAAGCCGGTGGTCCGCAATTTCACCTGCTTTCTCGCTGCCAACGTTTTTCACTTGTATTTCAATATAGGCACCATGGGAGCATCTGTCATATTTATTGGCTTAGGTATTTAATATATTTCTAGGTATGAGGTTGTCGTCAAACCTGTGTTTGTCCTGTACTCAATGCTACCGATGACCATAGTGAGGATCATGTGTAGCAATAAAAAATACTGATGCCACATATCTAAAACATCATTTGGGATATAATGTGAGCCGATACATACATTTCTTTGGTAACTGGGACTGCATCCACTATTTTGAAATAAGCAGCATTACCTTAACTCAGAAAATGACAGTCGCATGTTCGAATTGAAACTACTCGCTGTTATTTACTCATTACGCGCCAAAATAGCTGTCTCACGGTTTGCAATTATCAAGAAATTCCAAGTCGCCAATCCAACGCTACTAATGAACTGTCTTACTAAAAGGCATGACCCGAGTCGGCTCCTAGGAAGTTGTGCTGACGGCAGCTACTTAGTTCCTCCAGGTGCCCCGCAAGATTCTTTGTGAGGTAGAAATGCGCAGACTTGTTGTCTTCAGCCGTTATTTGTTGAAATTCACTACCAACACTGAACAAGGGCTGGGGTTTGTGACGGAGAAAGCCCTATTCAGCTCAAACAGCAGAATTGTGTCAACCGATGAAATGTCTATTTCTCATCTAAGCTTCCTCCTATTTCTCTGGTCCCCTGTTCAAAGGATTACCTTAAGCAGACTCTAAATAGTGCTTTTTCGTCAGCCGCCCTATCGCTAATCGAGCAGACAATCAAGCCTGGATAGAAGACTGGTAAGAAAGTCAAGAACAAATGTAAAGTATGGGTTCAGTAATTCAAAATTAGTACTTTCCGTTATGACAAGTAATTTTCTGTCAGCTAATTCACTATGTCGTATATGACTTAATCAGAGATTTATTTTTGTGTCAAGCGCCCCTAATATTTTCTACTGCATCCATGAAGCGGAGCTGTCTTAAATTATTCATATATTGCAAAATTCTGTTTGCAGTTCAAATATCTTAGCTGGTCACCTAGTTATGTCGTTAGTAGCCAATGCAGTATTGCTTGAGCCCGATGGTGTGCAAGTGAAAAGCATCATTTCCGAACGTTGTATTCTAAAAGGACTTCACATGGAAATAACTCGTAGTACACCTATGCACTTTTTAATCCTATCAATCTGGTAAGGCAACTAAAGAGTCGGATGCCAATCGCCTCACATCATTCTAGTTCGGCCGCATCGAAATCTGAAAGTTTCAGAAGTATCTACGAAAAACTCATTACTTCCTTCAGACCAGTTGCTGGGACATATAACATAGCACAGGGACTGGACTTTACTCTTTTATTAGCATTACTATTTCGAACAGTTGGTTTTCCGTTACCACAGGCGATCCAAGTTCATTTACTGACCACCTTTTTGAAGCACATTTTCTTCTAGCGGTTTTGTAAACCTTGAGCTGCTGAATCACTTCTGTACGTACGTTAGAAACAGATGTAGTAGCTTATTTGGTCGCGCGTAATTATATCTAGCAATTTTCCTATTTCACAAGTTGCCGCAGTTCAAACGTGAGCAATGCTTTTTACAAACCATAATGAGCGAGCGAAGGAGCTATGATGATACATGCTAAGCCATCTGCACTCTGTTCTCTTTCGATAGATCTTGAACCAATTTTAAAAAGGTCACTTAACTTCTAGGTTTTAAAATACATATAAGAAATCAAAAACTGTTGGCAGCTTTCTTAGTGAGGCAGTGACTTACAGGGTCTGGGCACTACTGCATAAGAAATCGCAATCTACGTGAATACATCATTCTGACGCACCAGATCTAGAAACATTTCCGTCCTACTCGCTGCCACCTTCTGAAACTTAGTCTCAATATAAATATGAGTGGTGATAAGCTAGAATCGGCCATCCAATGCATTTGACCCGAATACGGAGGGAATTAGCTCTCTTCGTACTTATCAACCGTGGAATGCTCTGTTGACATTTTTCATTTATGCGTCCACGCTCCCTATCTTGTAAAAACGACTTCACGATGTATTGCACCATTTGTGTTACTTAATTTTTATTCCGTTTATTGAATGACGACAAGATCGACAAAAATCCTGCTCACCTACCCTAACGAAACCTGGGTCAACAGATATTCATGTGTGTTAATGTGGATAGTATGGGAGTCCACAGACGCGTGTTTCACTTTATTGTCACTTCTTTTTTTGGATTTGCGTTATTCACAAAATCATCCCACGGGACCTGTCAAAGCTTGGCTTCGGTATCCTTATTATACCATTGTTCCATTGCCGTTATTGTAATGCAGAATGGTGCGAAAATTACCGCTATATTTGTGAATTTGACCCCGAGAGCCATGAGGTCAGCTTCGTTGATTTTAGCTGCGCCCGTACTCTCCAGAAATATCGGTTGAATGCCGGATTTCTACGGAGCCGGTTTTCAGGCATGAAAAGCTTGCTTCATTTAATAACTCCTTCGAACAATAATCATATAGGGTTACAATGTGCTAAATTTTCCAGTAACGCGTGATGTTGTATCCTGTATTGTTATTATTAATATGTACATGATTATTGTCGCATCTATCTAAGTGTGGAATTGCGCTCCAGAACGAAGACACTGGGTAAGAAAAAGGTTGTCCCGGAATTTCTGTTTGCATATACAGTGCCCCGTAATTGCCTCTAGTACTCAGAACATGTAATCACCACATTCTTCCATACACGGATTAGAATAAAAACTGTTGTGATGTCACGCATCTGTTGTAAAATCTTGTCATTTCACTCGCAGATTTCATACAGGATCTTTACGAAATACCTGTAAAATTCCGCATGGGCAAACGACCAATAACTTGCATGCCATGATCCAATGGAGACAGATTTTAAACAGACCTGGGTAGCCAATCGAGATGTACACTTGAGCACACGCTTACGCTAACTCTTACTACCGCTCAGCCTCAGGCTGCCCTGGTTGTAGGAGCAAAACACCCGCTTTCCCTCTCGTTTGTTTGTACGTATGTCTGCACCAAAAGAACCGTTGTATAAAATACCGGTCTCGTTATCGTCACTGATGAGACGATACGAAATGCATGTATCTGTCAAACTACGTCTTCTCATTTTGCTTTTTAAATTACTGTGGGGAACTAACTGCTTCAAAGTATTATTCAATCTGTATAGCCTCAGGCAGGTGAGTATCTTCTCCGCCGCTGATTCCTAACGCGTTGGTTGACGCAGAGCAGAGCAAATCACGGGGCGGCTCAGATCAAGCAGATGTGTGCACGCCCACATGAACACGAGCAAGGTTGTGAAAGCCATTCCCCTATATATATCACAGGTAAAAACACAGTGCTCAGTGCGCTCACACTAAGTGACTTCTGGCGCTGGTTCACTGCCTCTGTGAACAGTATCATAAGTACGCTTTTACCACCACAGTCCGTAAAGGTCACACACATTTCACTGAAAGTCATCTAGATCGCTACTACATCGTAGAAGTAGGGACCATATCAGCTCTTTATATTATGCTAAACTATAAAGTTTCATCCTCCCGCGGATGCATCGCTTGATAGGGCCCAGCTGGCTTAAAATGCGGTCTTTTACATCTCTCTACTGGTGTCTGAGGCACTAAATTACCAGGCTTTCCTTGCAGCGACAATAACAAGGCTACAAATCGCTCTTCTTTCTATATGCTTCGGCTTCGGAATACTAAACACCGTTCTAACCTTGGTGCATTCGAATCGTGCCTCTATCTATCTAAGCCCAAGTACAATTTGAATTTGTGACCCATTTTACTGTCTTCCTGGATTAAGCTTTATAAAACAGCCGCTTGTTCACAAATCTTTGTGAAAGTGCTACTTCCCAACCGGTTCTAAGTATAATACAAAAGTTCGAATATCACTAGGTTCAACAATAATTTTGCTCTTGTGGTACAGCTAATACGGATGGCACCAAAACGTAATCCTTAGTGGAATTAAATAACATCAAACAAAAACAATGGTAAACACCTATTTAAACATGATGATGAAATTTATTACAGAATGTCTGGTATTATCCTCTTTAAGCCGCTTCGCTGGGGTGTCAAGCCATTAGATAAATTCAGCAAAGTTAGTGAACTGTGAACCCGTTTATTAGCAACCTCAAATTGGAAGTTTTATTTTAACCCAAATTGTTTCGACCTCTCAATTTGCTGTCTTTAGAACGCGTTCCGGAGCAAATGAAGTCAGTTGATAATCAGTCTAGCACAGCAGTTAAAATTTAACTGAGGTTTCAAGGAAAATACGCTCATCCAAGTTGATTCTTTGTGCCAAAGAAGCGAACTTGCTCTACTGTTTAGCAGACAGAACATTGCTGTATTGGACTCATATTAGAACAACTTAGGCTGTCTTCAAAATTTTTGCCACTACAAAAATTAAACACACATTCGGTCTAAGTGTCACTTTCACAGTTTCCACCACCCATTTAACAGCTTCACCCTCATAGTACTTTCCTACCAATCACTGTCAGAATACCATGAGAAAAGCTTTCATGTTCCATTAGACAAATGCGATCACAACCGTCTTGTACTTGGGTATTATATTAGGACACTCGATGTATATCTGTCGGCTGTTTTACGATAGCGAGCGCTGCTTGCTGAAGCTGCAAGGCCAAAGGGTCCTTACGGCGTCTAATAACGCTTCAGAGCTATCCGCTTTTCCGATGAAGCCTTTGCACTGTAAATCTGGGGTGACGAGAAATATTAACCGAAACAGTTCTCGTTGTGACCCTGTTGTGTGCGGGTGACGACGAGGCTCACTGCTAACTGCCAAAGGCTAGACGACCTGGTGCTGGCTCTATTGGATAAACATCCTTGCAGCTAGTAGAATGTCTGGTCTACAGAGCCAACCACTGCAACATGGGTACAATGATAACAAACGTATAATAATAATAATTACGATAATAATGTATGGTTCGTGTTATCGGGAAATCGTGCCCACAAACCGAAGGATCTTATTTATATGTGCAGCATGCTTACGTATGCAAGGTTGTCAACGGTTGGGAATTATACCGAAGGATTGAGTAGGTTATTTTTCAAACTTACGGATTGTTACGAATTGACTTGGATGATTTCAACGAAATTTTGACCGGTTTGCGTTGTTAGCGAATTGGGTATTACACCACAAAAGCTGCCATGATTTCCGCTATCCTTGTTAACTTTTGTTGCCATGCTCCAATGGTTTTCACACTGGTCTTCAAAATCGCTGCACAGGGGCACGGTGCCCAAGTAAACGCGTGTTTTGCAGGCCATTCGCGATGGTGTCATTGAGTGTATCATCTCAGTAAGCTCACTACGCCTATCTGCAAACCGGCCTCTGCTACAGTAACCTGAACAAAAAGAACTGTAATCAAAACAAACGCATGACGATCTTTCGTATGTGTATTCTGTCAAATGACTCGTCTCTTTACAACTGTGAAGTGTGTTAACTAAAAATCGAGAAACGTTCATTCAATCAGTTGCGAGCTCAGCGTGCGCACTTGTGATCGTTGAAAAGTAAGTTGGCGCACACAGCACTGGACAATAGACGACAGAGAATTAGATGTAACAACTTGGCCTCCGCCCCGCTTTGTGGGAAAGGCCGCAAGCCTTGCCCTTTATGAACGAGAAGCTCAAGGTATTAGTAGTGGCTTGTCTTTGGCGAGGAACTCTGGAACGAATAAACCTGAGAGCTTACATGAGCATCAACGTTCTATGGTTAAAAGAACATCTTTTATTTGTGCCGCATATCGATGCTTGGATTACTTAAGTGATAAGTGAGCTACGTCGACCCTCTCTTAGAAAGGCACTGCCACGTACGTTGCGAGTGTTCTACTTGTTCGCCTGCAGCCTTGAGTACGACCTGTATAAGTAACTGCATGAGCAGTGACTTATTGATTGTACGTTTTGTCTCAATCAAACAGCAGCTGGTGATCTGAAATTTTGCCTAGCGGCCTGAAGTCGTAATACTCAGATTACTAGCCACTAATACTAAAGTGGTTTCTTACTGTCTAACTGACATTTCTGCTCTAAACGGGCTGCTCCAGGACGAAGCAAAAGCTGCTCATCTACACGGTTCGAGAATTGTACAACCTTTTGTAGACTGGCTCTCAAACATCAGTGCAAAAATGCCCATGCAGTTAACGTGCAATCCCTTGACCTTATTACGCTTTGTTCCTGTGTGCTCCAATGACGTCAGCTACGTACTCTGTAGGTTCGGATGCTGCTTCTGTAACCACACCTTAACAGCTGCAGCGATGCAAAAATCGCAACAAATGTTCAGCCACGATTGTGATCCTTCAGATTAAAAAGTAAACGAACGTCACCGGTAACAAGATCGGAATTTTCAAGTAACCTAAATTTCGCATCATGAACAGACTCTTTGGCTACCCTTAACCTGTAACTAGAAACGTTTTATTGAGAAAGCAGAATGCCTTTTCTTAACTTGCCCCACCTCTTTACCTTGATAATTCCCCAAACTTGCTGAATAAAGACCGCATAATACCGATCAGCAATTGTGGAATCTTAAACCCTATATTTCCTTGGATCCCAGAGTACACAGGCAATAAGCATACAGAACGGTTTTACGGTAGTGGTAAATTAGTAATTTTTTTCACCAAACTTAGTCTTTTGGTTTCGGGGTCAAAGCGATGGATTCAGAATTCGTTCTTGTCCCTTTGTGAGACGAGTTTAGCTGATCCTGCTGAAGGAAAATCTAATTGGCCGCCACACGTAAACACGATATGACTTCCGCTAAGCTGATAATATTTGCGACATCCACCGCGCACTGACCTTCCGTAATATCAATTTATCCATCGTAACACAAAGTACACAGCCAGTTGAACTAAGAGTAACAGTTAAGCTTGTACCTAGATTTCCTCTGTCCGGCTTGCGGATGCTTTTGACCTTTCGAACATCTTATAGGTCAATCAGCGTTTACGGCAGCCAACAAAAATCAACATTCAGGGATAGTTTAGCACAGTCCACTCTCACTCAGCGGGATTTGGCACGTCTGGAAAGCAACAGACAGTGTTGTTTCGACATTCTGGGTCTCGTCAGTGGTGCGCCTTCCTCGGACCCCTGGGTGTTCCTACCCCATGACTTTCATGTAGCCTCAAACTGCTGTGTCGTACACAGTCGCCATGCGGAAACTCCTAGCTCGTGGGGCTAACTGTGTCCTCTGCACCGTTCGCAACTTCATTGGCATTGGGAGATGAGCCAGGCTATATCATGGACAACTAGCAATCATGCAGGTAAACGGCTGTCACCCATGAATTAGTGGCACGAGCTGCTGCCATCCGGAAGTCATGGAGTCTGAAGTCGGCAGGGATCCGATGGAGGGTTCACAAATGAGGAGACTCCGAATGTGATACAGCGCTGTCTGGTGCTTTTCCAGATACGCTGAAGCCTGCTGACTGAAAGTGGACTATAATGAATTACCTCTGACTTATACCGAAATCCCCACCATTCATTAGCAACATTCAACATCTTTACATGAATCCCCAACCTTATTAAACTCCCTATGTCAAGTGACGAATGTCGTACAGAACGTGGCATGGGTTCCATTAGAAAACAGGCAAAGTTAAGCGCTTAGTATGGTCCAACAGGTAAATATTTCTAGTCCATAGAAATTAGAGAAATTAGCAATAATCAACTAGTTGCGACTATCAACGTTACATGGAAAGTACTGCATTTGCTTTCCAGATATTGGGGGTTACCGTCCGAAAAGGGTGCTCATCAAGACTGGTTTCGATCTTGTTTTAGTTTATCTGGTAGAGATAGCAGGACTCGAATCCGGAGCCACGGCGATTTTAGCCGAACGCTCAACCTCTTTATCCACCGAGGGGTCCAATCTGCAATAGTATGCCAGTAATTCTGATGTCATAAAAGGACAAATTGCCACAACCGACATGTATGATCGTACACATCATGGAGAGGTATCATCCCCAGCCACCAAAAAAGATAAGTAACATCCAGTAATTATTAAATTACTATTCCGAGCGCCATCTAGTAGCTTTTCAGCATCCTTTGGTGTCTGATTACCCTGAGTTCCGGAAAAGAAATAAAAACCCGTTAAATTAATAAGTGCTCATCGCACGTTTTATTTTAAAACACACGTTACTGAATTGGATGGCTAGGCGCAGCCTCTGTCCGAACTACGTATCACTTTGAATTGAACTTTGTCATCTTGGTCACTTGGACTGCATCAGACATCATAAAAGTGACGCGTTAGAGTTTTAATGCTGTTATCTCTATCTGATAAGTGCAAATAGGCAAAAACTGAGCGTGCAATGCAGTGTTGCTAGCGTGTAACGCTCTACATTAAATAATAAATGTTGCTTTAATTCGTGCTATTTATTTAGGGAAGTGCACAAAAGAAGTGATGCCTCCGAATGTGGATATTGATGGTGTATGCTTCATGAAAATTAAACGTAGGATCTTTTCCGTTCAGTTCATGCAGGTCGTCGAAGCCGCTGTTGAGGCACGCAAAGTTCACATTCTTCAACAAGATACTTGGGGAGAATCTGCTAAAGTGTACAGTTTCCCGGTAGACTCACACCTCACACAACTCACGGTCCAAGTAACCAATCACAAACGAGGACAAGCGATCGACGTGCGTATACGAAATCCAGAAAGTGAGTTGAAACCATACCAAGGAGCTTTAGTATTTGAAATAATCAATTGCGGGACGTGTCCAATGGATAGTCCGTCTGACTGAAAGTTATCTCGAGCCGCGTTTCATCCGGTATATTATAGTTCTTATGATTAACAGCTTACAGCAAACTTACTGGCTCATCCGCAAAAGACTGGTCGCTTTTGAAGATATTCCCGGAGAGCACGTGTAGTACCCATCCCATTATATCGAACAATAAACAACATCATTCGACATTATGAGTGCCAGAAATCAGGAAGCTGGAAAAGATGAAATAAATACAGTTCTCATGCTAACTGGTAAACAGCAAATCCATGAGCGTTAACACTATCCGGTCAAACCTCTGGGGGATAAATAAATTGATCTTCATCCTTGTAAATTATCTTGAATTGTTTAGGAAGTGGCAAGCTATCTGGAGCTTACCACTCCTTTGTATCTGGTGTTTAATGAGGAATATTGTTATGACTGTCTCTTGGTTGCGGCACGTTCCGAGGATCTGGCATCAACACTCCTAGTCGGACGAACGAATGTGACTTGGAACTATATCCACGCGCGATAAGGTAACCAAGGAAATTCGAAGTTCCTATTACCTATGAGATATGCTCAACACGGTGACTACGAGCAAGTTGAACAGGCTCCCAAACGACTAACCGAACCCGAGAGAAACAAGACAAAACACAGACCTTTCGTAACAGCCACTTTTACTGGACAGGTTCAAGGAGATTACAGCTTAGTCAAGCTTTGCTTAAATATTGCGCTTGTGAAATATGTGATTTTTCAGGTACAGTAGTTTTCAAGGCATAAGCAGGTGAATTGATAATATGTGAATATGCCAACGGAACATGTTAAAAAGTGGATGTTGGTAGATGGGGAGGTTTGACGGAAAAAATGAATATTTCGTAGGTACAATGGTTGAATGTTACATAATCGCAGGGGCTGCCCGAAAACTGGAATTTTTCTTAGGTAAAATGATGATTGCAAAATGAGCATCTCACGAGTGGAAAGGCTGAATGAACGCGTGTACTGGTCCACTGCGAGTCACAGCAACGCACATAGTGTCAGCTTGCGATCTCGTGGGGAGGTTGGGTTTTCATAACATCTACGTAAGTTATAGATGTTAAATCGAAGATAATCAGAATGTCTCAATATTTGTACTGCATCTCCTTACTGCAACATTGCTTTACCACTAGGCTTGTCAAGATTAAATTTTACGATCAGCCCCATGGCTGGTGCAGGTGTGAAATACCAGTTACGCGCTAAAAACCGTAATAGTCCAACTGCCCTCAATGTGAGCGTGTTATACTTGTCGCAGTAGAGTTAATACAAATGGATTAAAACTTCCTTACTCGTCTGCATGCGTAAAAGTGAGCTGTAACTTATCTTTCAGTTAATGTGTCTGGTTTCACCTAGGGCACAAGACTACCACGCGACATCTATTCACGCCTGATAGCAGCATACCCAAGTTGGTTTGAACCACTCGTGTGCGCTCATAAGAAACAATTTCCTCTTGGCTTGCGTCTCTCTGATTTACTATCGAGAACCAGTCACTGGAGTTTTGTATTCGGTTGAGGATTTTACCTTTGCGAACTTCCGTGTGGCATAATGCCTATGTCATAACACAGAATGTTGTGATTAGACGCTTAAACTAATACGCATATTTTCCATTATTGCTGCGCTATCCGATTGATCACCATGGCAGTCGAGGCCATCTGCAAATTGTCTGGCATAACAAAGCAATAAGGTTCCCAGAGGTCAATAAACAATTGTTCCTGTACACACAGTGCCAACGTGATAATTAAAAATACACTAGGGAGAAATTGCTAACTGGGCGCTAGCATTCAACATCATCACCGTTAGCAGCAAACTTAAGGCAAACGGTGCCGTGTATCCTAAGGTTCCTGTCTATAAAGTGGCCTGTAGGTTTTAGTGTTTTCAGCTTCTGAGTAGAGAGAGTTTGATGAATTTTGGTTGAATTCACTTCGTCGTGGATTCATGCATCCTAAATCAACACAACGTCCTGGTTTTTCTATCAATGTAACCAGCACATCAGACAACGGTATGCAAATTCGTGCATCTGAGTTAAAAGGGATATGAAGAAGAGACGGACGGTTTAGGTGACCAAAATTATTGCTAGCCTTTACATAGACGCAGCAAATCCCACTGGAACGACAGAATGCCATAGATTTCGTATTCACATGGCCATGACATGGCCCATGGGTTGGTAGCTCGATAAAAAGTAGTTTCTACATCTATGGAGATATTACATTTATAAAGTCACTTGGGGGCGCTAAATTTCAATTCAGTTCAAATATCCATTTTTTAAGTAGCCCAATTATTTCTTGAGGTATTTGTTTATGCGTATTCGCTTCGTATCATGCACAGAGTTGACTGCTATCTACTTAGGATACATTAAGATCAGAAACGCTGGGTCCTGTTTACCCTCTTCATCAACGCGGAGAGAAAACATCAGTTGCCATCTGTTAACATTTCAAATGCTCTCATCAGCCGCTACGCAGTGCATGCAGGAAAAATATACTCAGTTACCTACGTAACTATATTAGTTTCCCAAATAAGCTACAGTGGTGACAGGTGCATATTACGCAATCCGAGCCAAGGTAATCTTGTTAATTGCATCAGTTGACTCTGTGCGCACATCAGGCGATTTGCCCTTGTCACCAATCTTTCACTGATAGTTAACACTTGCTGGTTCTAATCAAGTTATAATACCCCAAACGAATATACTAGGTCAACCAGGTGATGGGTCGTCATAAAATTCTTGAAACTAGAAGAGGCTGAGTATCTGTTTATCCCTCCGTCCACTTTATCGTGTGGTCACAGAGACGGCCGTAACCATTTTGTGAACTGCTCAACGATGCTTTGAGTCCGTGAACGGTCGGCGCTACCTATGCTGGTGTGCACTGATAGATATTTTGAGAAGCTAAGCGAATCGCTCTGTCAGTTCTCTAGGTGAACTATTGTATGATGTAGACGAATTGCATTTGTACTGACAACAGTGATCAAACGGTTAGACCTACTATTTAAGTTATATAACACAAGGACAATAGTAACCAGTTTAAATGCTGAAGAATGGATCTTTTACTTATCGCATTTATAACTAAGGCAAAATAGTGCGAAAATTCGTTGTGTTTACAGCTTTTCTTGTCCAAGTCCAAGTTAAGCTGTGTACCGTTTTAGTCGGTGGCTTAACAACTGACTGGCTATTTGGACCAAAATAGCAACAATCTATCACATGCGGTCGAAACCACCAAACCGTCTTTCGTCACTCCGTCCCATTCACCACCATGAAAAATCTCCTTAGTACCGGACCCAACGGACTGCTCACTTGTACACAGCACCGTGGAAGGGGCTCTGATAGTTTCAGTGCGAGGTAATAGGCTATGAAGTTAATGGCTTGACTGGTATCGGCACATATAAATCAGCTTTGTGCTACATGGTCTGGTGTAACAGGATTTCGGTACAAGTTCACAAACCTCCACAGTACTTTTACCATATTTTACAACTACTGTTGGACTCACCAAAAGCGCGATTAACTCGGCCTTAACACTTTGCGGTATTGCGTGTTGAATCAGAGGAACAAGACATTCTGTCCGCCACTGAGCCGGATTAAATTGTGGTGAGATTACGGCTACCCGAATGAAACCGATCAACAAACCGATTTCGTGAGTCGTCGAAGCTCAGGGTGTCACGGTGCGGTGATCTCACCTGCTACAAAACTGTTGTAAATTTTTTTCATCGTCACTTTAGTTGATCATATTACACCACCGGCAACTTTTCTATCCTGGCACTAAAATTCTGCCTCACCAACATCTATGACAGGCACTTCTTTTGCCTAGTTCGCTTGCTCGTAATAATAATCTCTAAGCCATCGTCATTTTAAAACTGTAAGTCTATTAATAGTAGCCAGCATGGTGTGTAGTGAAGAGTTTGTAAGCAACCACTTTTAACCACCAGGCCATAAGAAGATATCGTTAAATTTGCAGTTAGAACAATCCACCTACATTTATATTTATCTTGACGCTTCGACATCAGTTTGGGAACTGCTTGGTAGTTCCTTAAGGGGGGCTTCCATGACCAGTTGTTCTGCTGACAGTACCGAGAAGAGAACCCGCAGCTGAAAACAGCCAAGCTGCACGATAGGAGGATCAACGATACTCAGTGGAATTGGCTACATTGTAGTACTTTTGATTTTCCTGCACTGAGCTCCGTGGCTGATCTCCGTCCTTTCCTTCTATTCATGAATGGGTAACTTCTAACTAATTGGCAGATATATCTGAGCATCCTAACAGTAAGCTACCAGTGACTGACGCCAAGTAGAATTGCACATCAGATGGCCACTATATTGAATCCGCGCAATTTGTAGATGCTCATACATGCCTGACCGTTTATTTCTCTCTAGTATTTAAAATATTGAGGGCAGCGGTAAATGAATTCAGTGCTCAGCCTTTTCCTCCCAAACAATTCGATGTTGCTATTAAGGGGGACCAACTATTTTAGATTATTAGCTGGTGAATCCCTTTCCCCACAATTGGTGCCTTCAAAACAGGACTGACTTGAGATACTAAGTAATACGTTATATCATCATTATTACATTTCTTTGTTGATATTCGCACCTATTCCCGAAAATTGGGTTTTTAATTCAAGTTAAAACAACTCAATTGTAACGGTGGATGCCGTATTCTTTTCACCCGCAGAGCTCGTTCCCCGCTCTCATCTGAGTGTTTGCCCGGTGGCGGCAGATTTGGTCCTTACGGAAGTCTTTACACGTTCCCAACGGTAACTTAAGCTCAACGATAAGAATGAAATAATGCTGCACTACTCAACATAACTGTTTATAATTTAGCTAACTTGCGTGATGCATTCGAAAATGTGAACACTACGAGGTCACATGTCATTCAGGAGGTCTTGGATCTTGTAGCAACCATTGTGTTATGAATACTGTGATAATTGGAGTATAGAGTAAAG